CAATGGAGACAGGCAGGAAGAGGGGAGGGAGAGGGTCATATTAGGTCTGGTTGGATTTGGGGATTTGAGTGAGAGGGAGATGGAAGAATAGTCTTTTCCCCCCACACACCTTTATCACCCCCTATTTGTCTCAGGGTCCCCTCTACTCTGAGATTATTGCATGTGCCCCTGGTCCCCACCCTTCACCCTGGGCTGGGGGTGCCCTTACAGCAATTATGCATAGCATAAGGCCCGGGTTGCTGAGGAGAGGGCAGCCCTCTCCTTGTGAGAAGGGGAGGGTGGAAGAGACCAAGTACAAGTGGCACCCCCTCTGTCCCCTGGGGAGTTTTCTGCCTCTAGCAACCAGGCCATGCCTGGACTGGGCCTTTCTCTGCCACTCCAACAATTTCCCACTAGAGTTCTTTCTCCCCTCCCCACTACCTGCAGCAACCAAGAACCCAGGAATGTCCTATCCCCTCCCCAACCAGAATGGCACGTGACAGTCCCTTTTTTTATTTAGGCCCAGGGTCTCAGAAGCCTCTCTGGTTGGGAAGAGGGACTCAGGGCTCGTCCCCACTGCTGCCCATGTGGCTTGGCACTCAGTCCCTTCCATTAAGATATGACAAAGCACTTTTGTACAGAAATTGACACCTCCCCCACCCCCACCCCACCCCACTCCGCGCAGGCCCTACCCTCAGCTCAACTTGGGAAGGAGGCAGGTGCCAAAGAGTGGCAGGGGTCAGCACAGGGCAGGAGCAGTTGGGTCCTGGCTTTCATATTCATCCTGTACCTGCACTCAACCCCCCTCCCGATGCAAGTTCCTCCTAACCAGGGACCCCCAAATTGGAGAAGACTCTAGCCCCTAAACTGTCCCTCCAAGGCACTGGAGGGGCCTGTAGCCCTTATTAGATGATGGTTCCCAAACCAGGGAGCCTCTGCACTCCTAGACCTCTCTCTCCTTTTCAGCTGAAAGGGCCGTGGGGCCAGCTCTCAGATGGCAAGATCATGGAGGTATTGGTTGGACTAGCAAAGTCTCAGAGGGAGCCAGGACTCTGACTTCTCAAACTGGTGGCCTGTGGGCCAAATATGAGTGTTCAGTTTGGCCACCGCAGTGTTTTTCAAATATTAAAATTTTAGTGCCTATGGGCAGGGCACACACTGTTCTATTATCTACAGACCTCACCACTCCCTATTGATGGCACTTACACTGCTGTCATTGTCATTTAAGCTTGCAACCCATGTACCCCTGATCCAGTAAACCTTCTCCCCACTGTCTGAGGCTTCTGTGGACTCCAGGCTCCAGTGAGCTCCAAGGAAAGGACCTGTGGAACTTTGTCCTTAGCAGGGCATTGGCTGCGAGACAAGACCTTCCATGGATATTCCCAGCCCCCTTGGCCCTCACCCAGAGACCTGGACATTCCCCAGACCTCCTGGTCTCCTATCCCCCACCACCCACCCTCTGCTTTCCCGAACTCTGTGTGACACAGGTGTAGCAGGACGCTGGCTGGGGAAAGGCAGATCTGGGGGAGAAGCAAGGATGAGGCAGATGAGACGAGGGGCCCAAGAAAGCCTCCCTTGTTGGGGAGCCACTTGCTGGGGACGGATGGGGGTCTGTGATGTTCAGCGGGGTGGCAATTACAAGGCACATGGTGCATCAGTGCATGGAGGCGCCATGAGGGGGTGTGGTGTCTGGAGAGGCTTGGGGAGAACAGTCAGCAGCCTGGGGCAGTTCCACGGACGGGGCTCAAGAAAATGGGGGACAGAAGTCTGCCCTGGGAATGGGGACAGTGGTCCCCTGGGGTTAGAGATGCCGAGGGCAGGGACTGCCCTGCTCGGCAACCAGTGTCCTGCACTCTTCTGTTCCTGGCAGAATTAAGATGGACCCCACTATCTCTCATCCCCAGAAAAATCCTGACTCTGCAACTGACTTCCTGTGTGATCTTGGGAGGTTCCTGGCCCTCTCTGGGTCTCAATTTCTCCTGTATAATGGATGTGGAGGGCAGGTGGCCCTCTGGGTTGTGGTTCTGGAGCCCTCGCTCACTGCAAGGACTCTGTAGGGATTCTGGGAAAGACTGAGCATCCAGGCTGGGGTGAGGGACAGGGAACAGGAAGCAGGAGGACCCAGGGGGTCCAATTCTGGCAGGGAAGAGAGAGATGGCTGAGGTAGATTGTGTCACAGAAAGGAAAACAAAATGACAGCTCTAAGGGGACGGGGGCCCTCCCCCACACTGACTCCTCTTTCCAGTGAAACAAGGGGACCGGCAGGGTAAGTGTGGGGACAGGCAGCGGAGAGGGGGACCTCAGGCCTGGGAATGATGGGGTCCTGAGCTCCTGGGTGAGAGTCCCTAAGGGGCTGAGCTCTTTTTTGAGGGCGAGATGCAGAGGTGACTGCAGCCCTCTCCTCGGGCCCTTTGACTGTGACCACCTCTGGTGCTCAGATGTCCTTGCAGGCAGAGGCCCTGAGGGAACGTTTTGTGGAATTGAGATGATGGGGGTTGGGAATGGGGTGGAGTGAAGTCCAAAAATGTGGCCGCGGCTGCCCTGGGAGCCTCAAGCCGTGCCTAGCACTGCCAGCTCATCCCTGTCCCCTGGCTCCCTGGGAGTCTCCAAAAACAGCTCCCAGGTGGGATACCTTTCACTTTTCCTTCCAGCATGCTGAAGGATGGGGCAGCCAGATAGGCCCTTCTAGGACCCTGAGGAGTAACATAACTTGCCAAGGGTGACCTTATGTTGTCTCTCTGCCTGCTCCCATCATGAGACGAGTTGACAACACCTCTCTTGTGGGGATGTTGCAAGCAGGGGGTGAACATTCCTGACACTGTCAGCCCTGGAGAAACTGTCAGCTGGGTCTGGGTCCACATTCTCAAAGCTCCCATCTCACAAAGGCTTTGATGTGTGTGTAACTGGCCATGGAATTCAGTCTTTGAAGACATCGGGCAGAGGACAATGAGGATGCGTGAACCCACCAGAGCGGGCCTGGGTCAGCCTGGGGATTCTCTCGCCACCCATCACAGGCTCTTAGGGATCAGGGAAGTAAAAGAAATGTTGGCAGGAGGACTACACACACCATTTCGGCCTGTGTGCCCAGGGCTGGGGTGACTGGAACCACAGGCATGATGAGTGCTTGTGTGTGTGTATGGTGGCAGTCCTGTCCTCTCTGCCTTTGGAGTCACCCTGCACCATGAGTGTGGCCCTCCCCCTGTGTCCTCAGCACACTCACCATTATTACCCATCACCTTTCCATGGGATAGCCAAGAGTCTGGGACCTTGTGAGAATAGCTGCCACTCTGGGCCTCAGTTTCCCATCTGTAACCCAAGGGAGGCTGAACCAGTGAGGCCTAAGCACCCATCTAATTTGCATAGTCTAGAATTCTCATGGCCCACCTCACCCCCAGCCTGGGTCTGCACCTGTCCTTAACATCCCCTGCTCTCCCTTCCCAGTGAATGTACCTTAGTTCGCATGGGGCAGTGGAGGGGTTCTAAGCTCTGCCTAGAGGCTCTGTCCCCTCACTCCACAGAACCACCTACTTCCCCACTCCCATACTCCCCCAACCTATCCAGGGCTGGCTGTCCCAGGAAGCAGGGAGTGACCCTGGGTGAGTGGTCCTACGGGCACCCCATGATGTTCAGGCCATGGGAATGGACCACAGGTCTTGGGGGTTGTTAGATCTGAGGCAAAACAAGCCAGTTTCCCAGATGCCACCCCAGGGAGTCACATCTGCAGGGTGGCTGACAGCCAGGATTCACGTCATGTCCCCGGAGCTGTTTTTTTCCAGCTGGGAACCAGTTGGCAGCTGAAATGTCTCAGGGGTTCTAAGGACAATTTCTTCTTAGGAAGATGGCTGTGGACCAAGATGGACAAAGGCCTAGAACTCCTATAAGCCCCAGAAGTCTAGAACAGGAGCACCCATTTCTAGAATATTCCATTCGCACAGGGTTCTAGAGGACCCCCCCCCCCCATGGCAGGAACTAGAATCTCCCACAGCAGAGCGGCAGGGCTCCAGCACCCTCACCCTTCATAACAGAACACAGATCAGAGTGACTCCCTAAGACATTTTATCAGTGACGTGTACTAGAACTAAGCATGTCTCTAGAACATTTCCTCTGCTGAATGTGCAAGAATGTTATCTATAAGCCCAGAGTATCTTCCTATTTTATCTGCTCTGTTCAAGACCTTCATCTAGAAGAAATGTTCCAGATGCTCATCTAGAACAAAGAATGGCTCCTTGAGACATTTCACCTGAGGTGTCTGGGACTTCATCCACAGCCAAGCCCACAACAAAGCTTGTCTCCTGAGGAGTTCACTCTCCTTATTCTGTATGCTCTGCATAGAGGGCATCTCTCCCCCGAGTCTTCCACCCCTTCATGCTTCTACCAGCCTGGACCCCTTAGGGTTTTTTCTCCTGTCCATCTCCAGCACTGTCAGCCACCCCCCCAACACCCCCCACCCCAACTCCCTCTGATTCCCTCTTGCCCCAGATCCAGACCTCAGATTCTACAGGAACTGTGCCAACCTTGCCCACAGGATGCTCCAACCTCAGCCACATCTTCCATGACCTCCACCATCCTTCTCAGAGATGTCCTCCCACTACAGAAGCAGCCCACTCCCCACACCCCCTGAGGAGCATAGGGTCTAGGTCATGGGCCCCAGACAGTGCCCTTTCTCTGGCAGGTCCATCAGGGATGTCATGTGGACAATGCCAGGCAGGGGAGAGGGTGTGGGCCCTCCCCACCAGACATGGAGGCCCCATGAAAGCGGGGTGGCTCACGGGGAGTGTAGCACCAGTTGATTCCCTGGGCCCTGGTTCAGGGGAATTTAGAAAACAGGCCACAGGCTGAAAATGGGGCCTAGGGGTGGGGCCTCCACAAGGCTGCCCCATCTCCTAAAAGAACTAATGGTGGGGCCACTCTACCCTTGGACCAACAGATCCACTCCCCCGTAAGCCCTGAAACTCCAGGCTCAACACTATGGTCTATGTGGGCTCAGCCAAGCCCATCCGTTTTGGGGGGGAGCCTGTGGCCTACACAGTGGTCTCATACTCCAGCAGCTCCTGGGAGGCCCCCACACTCCGGTACTGCAACCGGGGTGTAGCAGGTGAGGAGTACTCCAGTGCCAGAATGGTCTTCCGCAGCCGGCGGTCAATAAAATGGGCATCCCACGCTGGGTACTTCTTACGAGGCAAATCAATCCGAATGACAGGCCCCTCTGTCCGCAAGGTACGGGCCACTGGTGTAGGAGGCACGCCAGGCCGCACCTGGAAGACAGGTGGCGTGGGGGTCCCCGCACGCTCGCCCCCCACTGAGGCCCCATCCCTCTCAGCGCCTGTAGTCCTCGGCAGGGACCTTGGGGGACTTGTGACAGCGTCGAATGGTGGGCCACAGGGCCCTGGGGACTGGGGGCAGATGCAGCCAGGTGCCTGGGGACCCAGCATGGGCCCGTTGGGGTGCAGGAGACAGTAGTAGACACACATGAAGAATATGCCCAGCGCAAAGCTGGAGGCCACCACGCAGACCAGGATGAGGGAGCGGAAGTCGGTGGAGAAGTTGCGGCTGGAGTACCAGAAGCCGGTGAGCGCAGCGTTCTCAAGCAGGACGATGCAGTAGTAGAGGGTCATGCGGCGGCGGCTGCGGCCCTCCTTGACATTGAACCAGCAGAAGATGTAGATGATGCCCACCACCATGTTGTAGATGATCTCCTCCCACTTGGACATGCAGAAGTCCGTCTCCCCCTGGATGACCCAGAAGGTCATGACGCACCAGTGAGCCACAATGAAGATGCCGAAGTAGAGCTTATAGACACTGGCAAAGAGCGCGAAGGCCAGACTGCGGGCTGCAATGGTGAACAGGTGCCATAGCACCTGGGCCACAGCGCCCTTGTAGGACAGGGGCCGCTTGTCGTCCCGAGAGTCCCGCAGCACCTTCTGGTAGGAGGCCAGCGTCCAGGCCAGGGACAGGAGGGAAGCGGAGGTGGAGAGGGCTGTGGAGACAGGGCGGGGGGCGGGGGGGGCTGGGTTAGGGGGGGGTCTGGGTTGGGGGCTGGGGAGAGGGGGAGGGGTCTGGGGCAGGGGCTGGGTG